ACCTCAGGTGATCTGCCCACCTCGGCTTCCCAAAGGGCTGGAATTACAGGAGTGAGCCACTGCGCCCAGCCTGGAGATTTCTTTATTATCCTTGCTTATTCACAAATTGTTCATTTATAAGTTCTGTGTATTTTTCCTTGGAATTTGGTCTTTTCTACTGATTTCTAGGATTTACTGAAATCTCTACCAAAAAATACAAAAATTAGCCAGGCATGGTGGCGGGAGGTGGAGGCTGCAGTGAGCCCAGATCATGCCACCGTACTCCAGCCTGCGCAACAGTGTGAGACCCTATCTCAAACAAAAAACAAAACAAAACAAACTAAGAACCTCCACACTTGGTACCCCAGCTTCCCACCTCCTACCCACAAATCAACTGAATAATCCTATCAGCCATGGAAAACATCAAGGCTCTGTAGATAATGACTTACACAACTTTGACTTTTAGATTTTGATAAAACCTTTGTGTTCTCTGTTCTAGCCCCTGCTAATTGAAATGTGGCCCATGAACCAGCAGCCTTGCCTCTCCTGGGAACTTGTTAGAAATGCACCCTCTGTGTCTCACCCCACACCTACTGGATCACAATCTGTGTTTTAACAAGCGTCTGAAGTGGTTCATAAGCACTTTAAATTGTGGTAAGCAAAAGACTAGGTTCTCTAAAGTGTAGACCTGATAGCAGCAGCAGTATCACCTGGGCCCATGCAGAAAATTCAAATCCCTTGGCCCCACCCTACACCTGCTGAGTCAGATTTCAGGGGGCGAGGTCCAGCAAGCTTTTTAAAGAAGCCACCCTCCAGATGATTCTGGTGCCTACTAATGTTTGAGAAGCACTGCTCTAGATCGGCGATTCTCAATCTCAACTAACTATTAGAATCACCTGGGCAGTGTGGCGGACTCCCCATATTTAGAGCGCAGCCCGGATGACCTGAATTGGAATTCAGTGGTTCATCCAGGAAATCAGTACTTTTTAAATTCTCCAGATGATTCCAATGTGAAACCAAGGCTGAGAACCGCTGCACTAGTCTAGAACAGTGCTTCTCAAAGTTGGCTTCACATTAGAAATACTCAAAGAGCTTTAAAAAACAAAAAAGGAAAACTGATGCTCGGGTTCTCAGAAATTTAAACTGGTCTGAGTGAGGCAAAAAAAAAAAAAAAAAAAAAAAAAAAACTTAAAAAAAATTCTCAGGTGATTTTGATATCCAGCCAGGTTTGCAAACTACTGCTCCAGGAATGCCATTTCCCCCATATAAACTTCAAGTTATAATAAAGAATAGACAGTTTGGAGGTGATGGAAGGTGATCACTTGAACCCAGGAGGCAGAGGTTGTGTTGAGCCAAAATCATGCCATTGTACTCCAGCCTGGGCAGCAAGAGCAAAACTCCATCTCAAAACAAAAAAAAAGGAAAAGAAAAGAGAAAATTTCCTCCATGGCAAAACAAAAAGAAAATTAAGCTGTGGAATCACAATACACCCTAATATTGTTTAGTAAATTAACTTATAACTACATTTTATAATATTTTTCATTTCCCTTATATTTACTCAGCCTTTACAGTGTGTTAGGCTAGTGACTATGAAGATTAAAAATGAGCACAAACCCTAGCTCCTGCCCATAGGGAACATATAATCCGAATCGGGAGGAGAGATCCACACACATCTACATATGAATACTGTTTCAAAAGCAACCCATCATTTTATGCTACTGACTAGAATTCACTAAAATAAGTTATACATATCATTATGTCACTGTTAGGTCAAGGTCATTTCTATTCTTTTTAAAAGAATAGGAAGCCAGGTCAGTGGTGCACACCCACAGTCCCACTCAGGTGGCTGAGGCAGCAGGATCACTCGAGCCCAGGAGTTCAAGTTCAAGGCTGCAGTGTGTGATGATTGAATCTTGCATAACAACTACACTCCAGCAACATAGCAAAATCCCATTTCAAATATATATATATATATATATATATATATGAGTAATCTCTTTAAAAAAATAGGAGCAAGAAGGACATATATGTTGGAAAATGATGAAGGAACTATTTTAAATACAATTAGCCTTTAGACATTTGAACCTGGAGAAAGTGGTAGAAAAGTCAATGGCCCTTTCAGAGACTAATATAACAGCTTAGAGAAAGTTTTCTCAGCCGGGGTGCGGTGGCTCATGCCTGTAATCCCAGCACTTTGGGAGGCCAAGGTGGGCGGATCACCTGAGGTTGGGAGTCTGAGACCAGCCTGACCAAAATGGAGAAACCCCATCTCTACTAAAAATACAAAATTATCCTGGCATGGTGGTACATGCCTGTAATTCCGGCTACTCAGGAGGCTGAGGCAGGAGAATTGCTTGAACCCAAGAGGCGGAGCTTGTGGTGAGCCGAAATTGTGCCATTGCACTCCAGCCTGGGCAGCAAGAGCAAAATTCTGTCTCAAAAAAAAGGAAAGAAAGTTTCCTCCATGGCCCAAAGAAAAGAAAACTAAGCTGTGGAATCACTGACAATACACCCTAATATTGTTTAGTAAATTACCTTATAACTACTAACAAAACTAGCAATTAAGAAATCAACAATTAAAGAGTTCATAATAAATATTCTTCCCGCTTACTGCTGGAAATGTAACTATTTCTTTTGACCTCAGACTAAAAAGAGAGTTTCTGAATGAAGAAAGGCCCCAAATGTTCTCCTGGATCAGCTCTTTCAAGAACACTTTTTTGTCATGAAAAATATTGTCCTAGTTTGAAATAAATTACTTGCTATAAACATTTTTCAGGCCAGGTATGGCGGCTCATTTCTGTAATCCTAACACTTTGGGAGGCCAAGGTGTGAGGATCATTTGAGCCCAGGAGGTTAAGGTCAGCCTGGGTAACATGATGAGAGCCCCATCTTTACAAACACATTTTTTTAAAAATTTAGCTAGATGTGGTGGAGCATGCCTGTGGTCCCATCTACTTGCCGAGGCTGAGGCAGGAGGATTGCTTGAGCCCAAGAGATTGAGGCTATAGTGAGCTATGATCCTGCTTTCACCCAAGCACTCCAGCTTGGGTGAAAGGCCAAAACCTGTCTCAAAAACAATTTTTTTTCAAAGATATTGAACTGCTGAATTTATTTACATTTTTAAATGAGCAATCAAGCAAAATTCAAAATATTATATAAGTTACAATGGCAAAGATGTGATGTAATTCTTTTTTAAATTTTTATTTATTTATTTATTTATTTTTGTTTTGTTTTTGAGACGGAGTTTTCTGTTGTTGTTGCCCGGGCTGGAGTGCAGTGACGCAATCTTGGCTCACTGCACCCTCTGCCTCTTGGGTTCAACCAATTTGCCTGCCTCAGCCTCCCAAATAGCTGGGATTACAGGCATCCACCACCAGGCTCAGTTATTTTTTTTATATATATTTTTAGTACAGGGTTTCACCATGTTGGCCAGGCTGGTCTCGAACTCCTGACCTCAGGTGATCCACCTGCCTCAGCCTCCCAAAGTGCTGGGATTATAGGCTTGAGCCATGGCGCCCAGTCAAAAATATTTTTAAGCCCAAATCTCACCAGACATAATTCTTTTTTATTATTTATTTATTTATTTTGAGACAGAGTCTCACTCTGTCACCCAGGCTGGAATGCGGTGGTACCATCTTGGCTCACTGCAACGTCTGCCTACCAGGTTCAAGCAATTCTTGTGCCTCAGCCTCCCTAGTATCTGAGATTACAGGCGTGCATCACCACACCCGGCTAATTTTTGTATTTTTGGTATAGATGGGGTTTTACCACATTGGCCAGGCTGGTTTTGAATTCCTGGCCTCAAGTGATCCTCCCACCTCGGCCTCCCAAAGTGCTGGGATTATGAGCCAACTCACCCAGCCACCAGACATAATTCTTTAAGACAAAAGAAGTGAGTCTCTGAATAAAGAAAAACCACAAATGTTCATCCATCTCATCTATTTTATTCCATTAGAAAATGCTTAGAGGTTAGAACAGATTAGAGTATGTTAAAATATATCAGTTGGAATTTGGAATAGGTCTAAGAGCAACCACATACAACTCTCCTTTGTATTTGAAGATGACCTCACATTAGCCGATGATAAGTCTCAAGCTCTTTTTCCAATAACAGTGATGGATTCTACTACTCCAAACCCACTCTTATCCTGTATCCATGGACATATCCATAGGAGGAGGGTGATAAGATCTTTATGCCCATCAATGAAATAAAACTAAGTTTACTGACTCGAAAGGTTTTGAATCCATCATGTGGGAGAGAATTTACTCTCAAAATAACCTGATGAGGAAGAGAAGGCATTTATTATGGTCCCAATTTTATAAATAAACAGACTAATGTTTAATCATATCATATCATTTACACAGGACCATAAAAAATGATGTGGTAGTTTTCAATGGGGGTTATAGAAACATCCGAAGATTTAAAAAAACAAACACCTTATGTTGTACCCTACCCACTCCCCAGCCTCCTAATTCGTATACAGAATCTGAGTTGAGAATCGCTTCTGTATGTGAGCTGGGGTCTGTGCCATGTTACCCACAATGTGCTAGGGCATTTAACAGGGTTGAAAATCACTGCTATGATTGGTAATAAAGGTAATCAACACAGGAAATCAAATGCTTAAGTTCTGTATTTTATCGTTTGGAAAACACAGTTTTAAAAAGTTCTAGATTTCTTTGAATGGAGAATTTTGGATATAATAATTGATATAGCAATGGATTTATAATTATAACAATTATAGCAAGGTTTGATTTAATAACTGACATAGCAATAATTGACTTGTAGCTATTACACTGTAAACCATTGATGGCTTTTATTTTGTTCATAAGAATTTGTGGTATAATTCCCCTCCTTCTATAACATGGGGAACATACAGGGTAGGCTGTGGAAGCATTTGTTTTAGCCAGCCAGGTGGCTGCTATGACATTGGAAGCCTGAAGGAAGTGGTATCTAAACATTTCAAACAAACGCAAATCTTAGTTTAATGTTTCAGAAGGTATTTTTTAAAGTAGCCACAACGTACCTGTTCTGGGTGAGTTTCCCCTCTTTTTTTATTGTGAAGTTGAAGATAAGAGTCCATTTTAGGAGTGGATAATCCCAAAGTCAGCTTGTTTTTTTCCACAAAATATTGTTTGGACTTCCTTCGCCGAGGGCCACGTGATCCCGGCAGGAAAACCTCGTTATGTGAACTTGAGCTCTTCAGGGACTGAGAAAGGCTGCTGGACTTCTCTTCCAGGTCACTGTCGCTCAGCTCTGAAAACGGCTTGCTGCGACGGGCACCATGCTCATAGCTTGGGCTTAAAAACTCACTACCAAGTAAAGAAGCTACATCATTCTGTGAACTCTCTTTCTGCTCTCCCTTTTCCCCTGAGAGTTCCACTGAAGTCTCCTTGGAAGGGTAGAGGGGAACCAAAGGCAGATTTTCTAAAGAACTATCCGTAGATTCCGGCAATGCTTCCACAGGCAGCAGCTGCCCTTCCTCCTTTTTACTCTTCCAGTTGGGGTCATAGCGGAGGTCTGAATATTTGTCTTCTATTGGTTGTTGCCTGCCCAAAGCAGAAAAGAAATATTAAGTCCTTATTCACAATAAATTCACTCATTATAGTCAATCATTTTATTTGAAATCAATCTCAGTCTTTTTTTCTATAATTTTCCTTTTATTATCTGTATGTTAAACACAAATCCCAGCAGGGTGCAGTGGCTCATGCCTGTAATCCCAACACTTTGGGAAGCTGAGGCAGGAGGATTGCTTGAAGCAAGGAGTTCAAAACCAGCCTGGGCAACACATTGAGATCCCATCTTTACAACAATTTTTTTTTTAAAATTAGCTGGGTATGGTGTCATACCTGTAGTCAAAGTTACTCAGGGGGCTGAGGCAGGAGGATTGCTTGAGCTAAGGAGTTAGAGGCTACAGTGAGTTATAATCACGACACTGTACTGCAGCCTGGGAAGACAGAGTGAGACCCTGTCTCTTAAGATAAACAAATAATTAATAAACATAAAGACAGATCCCAGGCCCAAATTAGACCCACACACTACACATAAGGGCAAAAGGCCTTAATTATCCAAGTTCATTGAAATATGGAATAAAAATAGGGGATAATTTCTAAGTGTCGGAAAACAACCGAAAAACAAATGTCTATAATGCTAAACCAATAATCACTGTGGTTCAGTGAATGCAGTTACTTATGTACACCAACAATGACTCAGTATTTCAGCTGGTGAAGATAAAACCATGTGTCACACTTTGGCTGGTAGTACATTTCATACACTGAAAAACAATGTTTTGGTCAAGGACAAGCCACATGTATGCCTGAGGTCCTACGAGACTATAAAGGAGTTGGAAAGTTCCTATCACCTAGTGACACTGTAGCCCTTTGAATATCACAGTAAACGTGTTGCTCACATGTTTGGGGTGCTGCTGGTATAAACAAACCTACTGCACTGCCAGTCCTATAAAAGTATAGCACATACAAGTATGTACAGCACATAATCCTTAATAATGATCATCAACAACTATGTTACTGGCCTTTGTATTTACTATATGATATGGTTTGGACCTGTGTCCCCACCCAAATCTCATGTCAAACTATAATCCCCAATGTTGGAGGTAGGGCCTGGCGGTGGGGGGGGGGGGTGACTGGATCATGGGGACAGAGTTCTCATGAATGGCTTAGCACCATCCCGCCTTGGTACTGAGTAGTGAGTGAGTTATTGTGAGATCTGGTTGTTTAAGAATGTGTAGCAGCTCGCCACCCTCTCTCTTGGGCCTGCTCCTACCGTAAAAGCCCTGCTCCCTCTTTGCCTTTTACCATGATTGTAAGTTTCCTGAGGTTTCCCTAGAAGCCAAGCAGGGAATCATGCTTCCTATAGAGCCTGCAGTACTGTGAGCCAGTTAAACTTCTTTGTTTAAAAATAAATTATCCAGTCTCAGGTATTCCTTTGTAGCAATGCAAGAACAGACTAATATACTATGCTATACTTTTTTTTTTTTTTGAGACAAGGTTTTGCTCTTTCACTCAGGCTGGAGTGCAGTGGTGTGATCTTGGCTCACTGCAACCTCTGCCTCCCGGGTTCAAGAGATTCTCATGCCTCAGTGTGTATTAACATGCCTGGCTATTTTTTTTTTTAATTTTTTAATTTTTAGTACAGACAAGGTTTTGCCATGTTGGCCAGGATGGTCTTGACCTCCTGGCCTCCTGTGATCCACTCACCTCAGCTTCCCAAAGTTTTGGGATTACAGGTGTGAGCCACCATACCCAACCACTATACTAAATTGTTTATCATTATTTTAGAGTGCACTCCAACTTATTTTTTAAAACATTAATTGTGAAACAGCCTCAGGCAGGTCCTTCAGGAGGGATTCCAGAAGAAGGCAATGTTATCCTAGGAGATGACAGCTCCATATGTGTTACTTGCCCTGAAGACCTTCCAATGAGACAGAGAATGGACATGGAAGACAGTGATATTGATGATCCTAACCCTGTTTAGGCCTAGACTAATGTGTGTGTGTTTTAAACAAAAAAGTTTAAAAAAATTAATAGAAAAAAGCTTACAGAATAAGGATATAAGGAATTTTTATACAGCTGTACAATGTATTTGTGTTTTAAGCTGCGTTATTACTAGAGTTAAAAAGTTAAAAAAATTAAAAGTTCATTAAGTAAAAACGTTAAAGTAGCTAAGGTCAATTTATTAATGAAGAAATATTTTAAAAAATAAATTTAGAGGCTGGGCACGGTGGCTCACACCTGTAATCTCAGCATTTTGGGAGGCCAAGGTGGGTGGATCATCTGAGGTCAGGAGTTCAAGACCAGTCTGGCCAACATGGTGAAACCCCGTCACGACTAAAAATACAAAAATTAGCTGGGCATAGTGGCAGGTGCCTGTAATCACAGCTACTTGGGAGGCTGAGGCATAAGAATTGCTTGAACCCAGGAGGCGGAGGTTGCAGTGAGTCAAGATCATGCCATTGCCCTCCAGCCTGGGCGACAGAGCTAAACTCAGTCTCAAAAAAACAAAACAACAATAAAAAATAAATTTAGAAGTGTCTAATTGTACAGTGTTTATAAAGTCCACAATAGCATACAGTAATGTCCTTGGCCTTGAAATTCACTCCCCGCTCACTCACTGCCTCACCCAGAGAAACGTACAGTCCTAAACCTCCATTCATGGTAAGTGCCTATATAAGTGTGCCATTTAAATAACTTTTATGCTGTATTTTTACAGTACCTTTTATATGTTTACATGCACAAATACTTACCATGGTATTACAATTCCCTACAGTGTTTAGTGTAGTAACACACTGTACAAATTTGTAGCCTAGGAGCAATAGGCTATACCATGCAGCCTGGTGTGTAGTAGGCTCTGCTACCTAGGATTGTATAAGTGCACTCTATGATGTTCCCACAATGACGATATCACCTAATGACGAATTTCTCAGACCATACCCCTGTTGTCAGGCAATGCATGAGTGTATAGACATCTGACTGTTTAGAAAGAGAACTGTGAATTGTTGCCTAAACAACGTTTGCTTTGGACTGCTCCTTTTTGGGGGAAAGAAAGGTTTTATCTCGACTGAATACCTATATAGATTCATTCTTCTTTTCAGTGATTTTGCTTTTTACTTCATTTTGTCTTTGTAGAATGTATCTAATGTACTACAGAAAGATCCCCGAGGCTTCAGATCAGACCAGATCACACATGGCTCACTGAAAGGTTCATAGCCTCTTGTCTGTCAGCTCTGCACATGAAGCTCGGTCCATAGGTCAGAATGCACTTGACACTGCAGGAGAGGCCTATTTGAATAAAAGGTTAAGCATATGGTCCTGCCTGAGAAAAGCGAACTAGTCTATACTCAGTTCATGTGACCCAAAATAAAGTCTCCCTTTTCTCCATGACAATCTTAATTTGTAAAGCATCCCCAGTCTTAACCAAAAAAAAAAAAAAAAAAGCTGGTAATATGGCATATTTAATAGCCTCTCTTTGATCTTCAAAAGCTAAATGAGAGAGATTTTCCTTCCTTGAGTACAGTATATGTAATCCTCTAATCAAAAAGAAAATGTAAATCACCTAGGCTTTTTATGCTATTTGATATTCCCATTTACAGACAGCATAATTTTATGCTGGGTAAACAAACTAATGGTCCCCTAATGTTAATTTACTTAACGTGGACCCAGATTTCTTTGATTTGATATAAAGCCAAAAACTGGAGCAAAAAGCCAAAACCGTCATGCCTTGCTGAATTGTCATTTTGAGTTTTTAGTTCACATGTTATAATGAAGAACTTCTTGAAATAAGTGGTTCCTCCTTTTCCAACAAGAGAAGAGAGATGCTCTTCTCCTTTAGCAAAATGGAAATGGTCCACATCTGTTAGAAAATGGGACACCCAAATGTTCATTCGCCTCACTCCTCCCTGCATTGCAGGGTCCCCTGCCTCTGGGGCTTTGATGGGGGAGGTTTCTCCCAAGTGATGTGCCATCCTAAGAACTCACAGCGTTTCCTGTCCCTGCCTTTCACTTGACCCTTGAGCATCATGGGGCATGGATATGGGACATGAGTGGTCTAGCAGTGTCTGGGAGTCCACAGACCTGGGCTCAGGTTCTCCATCTGTTGCTACCTATTCTGCATCAGTTGGCAAATCAGTCATCTCTGATTCAGTTTTTCTCATCTGTAAGTCGGGCTAAATCCTATTTGTTTTATTTCTCAGGGCAGCATGAGGATCACCATGAGAGAATGTGTCTTAAAGTGCTCTATATTTGTGCGTACTTAATTTTTCACTGTGGTAATCTTGTCTCCTCACTAGACAAATTCTCAGGCAGCGGGGACTGCAGGTGATCTCTCCCTCCCTGACTCCTACCCTTGTACGCTGCACTGTGCTATGGACAGAAGAGTCAATAAATAGTTTTTGAATAAATTACTCCCTCTCTAAAAATACTCTAGTCAACACAAATACAGCATAAATGTTTATTTTAAAAAATCAATAGTAATAAATTAGAATCCAAACATGCAGAGGCTTCTTGCATTAGACCAAATTAGAGAATGACTTTTAGGGCTTATCTTGTACTGAATTAAACATAAGTTTCAACTGTGGTTGTTTAGGTGGGGAAGAAAGCACAATCATTATCTTTAAGTAAATACAGATTTTTTTTTTTAAAGAAAGGTGCTGTTTTCCCATATTTATGCTGTGCTGAAAGAAAAAAAAACCTAGTTTAACTTTCTTCATTCATTTGCTCACTCATATTCAGCAGGTATTTATTTATTGAGCCTTTACTAAGCTATAGGAATAGTGGTAAACGGTGAAGTGGTGGACACACAGCCTAGTGGGGGATACAGATCAGGAAACAGCAATTAACACTTTGGAGTGATGTGTGCTCTGATGAAGAGCACCAGGCCATCAGGACACAGAGGGACATCCAGTCCTGTCTTGAGAGGTCAGGGAAAGCCTCCTGGAGGAAGTGCTGGTGTAGCTCAGAGCTAAGGCTGAGAAGGGCAGGGAATAGCGTGTAAAAAGGAGTGGAGGCAGAGACAACGTGGTGTTTTCATAGAA